ATATTTCTTTTAATAATTTTACTAACACTTATTTTGATATTTTCGTTGCTTATTTTAATTATTTTTCTAACACTTAATTTAGTTTTTTAATTTTAATGAATGTTTAAATACTAATTTTAATTCTTTACGCATAATGCTTATTTCATATTTACAAATTTATTTTAATTGCTTTGCAAAAAAATAATTTGATTGATATTTTAATTTTCAAATTTAATTGCGTATTCCTTTTATATATATATATATATATATATATTATATGTTATTTAATATTTAATTATTTCTTTAATTATTTTACTATCACTTATTTTGATATTTTAATTGCTTATTTTAATTTTTTTTTCTAACAGTTAATTTTGTTATTTATTTTTAATGAAGTTTTAAAACTTATTTTAATTATTTACAAATGTTTAATTATGTATTTAAATTCTTTATATATATCTTATTTAATATTTCATTTTTTAAAATTAATTTAGTAACACTTGTTTTTAAATGCTTATTTTAATATTTTAATTATTTTTCTAACACTTAATTTAGTTTTTTAATTTTAATGAATTTTTAAATACTAATTTTAATTCTTTACGCATAATGCTTATTTCATATTTACAAATTTATTTTAATTGCTTTTCAAAAAATTAATTTTTTTGCTAATTTAATTTTCAAATTTAATTGCTTATTTTTATTATTTTGCAAATGTTTAAATATTTTTTTAAATTCTTTAGATATATTAATTATTTAATATTATATTATTTCTTTTAATTTTTTTACTATTATTTAATATAAAATAATTAATTAATCTAAATTAGCAACTAATAAATATTTCGATAAATAATATAACATTTACATCTTATATTTACTAATAATTTTAAATACATAATATACATTCAAATTAAGCAATTCAAATAAATAATTACATATTAGAGAACACAATATAAGTTATTAATAATTATTTAATTAACTTCAATAATTACCGAAAAAAATACCCACGGCCCAAAATAACGGCCGGCCCAGTCAACTGGGTCAACCGGGCCGATCGGCCCAGCTGCCCAGTTGACTGGGACAGAGAGCCCAGACGGCCCAGTTATCTGGGTCGTCTGGGCGTCCGGGCCGGCTGGGCACGCCCCGACGGTGTGTCCAGCTCTCTGGGCTCCATTTCCGGCCGAGGAGATCGCCAGAAAACTCCATTTTCGATGATCTCCACTCCTTCCCAAGCAATAACAACCCTAATTCCACATTTACACAAGGATTTCTCAACAAATATATATAAAATCATACTTTTTTCCAAAAATAAAAATATAAACATGATTTTTTTGTATAAATTTCTTACCTTCTTCAGAGAGAAATGGCCAACTGGGTCTCCTGTTTTTTCTTATTTGTCGGTGACTGGGTCGACTGTGCTACAGTACTTTCCGTTCTCGGCTTCTGCTTCTTTTTCCTTGCCAGTGAGGGGTAAAATTGGGTTTGTCTTCATTTTTTTTAGTTTTCACTGTTTTAAATAATTTTGCCTTTTTTTTTTCACTGGTCAAAGGCCATTTTGGGTCAACCGGCTGTTGGCCACTAATTCCTCCAAAAGTTATCCATGGAAAACTATATGTATATCAAGGCACTGGTTCTCTTCAAATCTCTTCAGCTGCTTGATACAATCATCATAATTTTTCCAATCACTCTGTTACAGTTACACCAGCACAACTTGACCTTTATGGTGACTATAAATTTTTGCAATTTATTCACTAATATTTGCCTTACAGGGAGAAGAAATTGTGGATCAATAATTGATGCAAGAATTGGATGAACCCTGTTTGTCTAATTGGTAGTCTCATATTGTTAACATTTTCAATTTTCAACCACATTAAGGGCATCTCCAACCATTGCACCATTTTGCATCAAACTTTGCACTATTTTGGTGCAAAATGGTGCAAAGTGTAAAATATCCCTTTTGCCCTTATTTAATATTTTTCAAATAAATTTGTTGAGGGTATTTATGTCATTTATGCTATATATTTAATAATACAATAAATTATTATTATTATTTGAATAATATTAATATTATTTGTATTTAAAATAAATTTTAAATGTAAGACATAATAATTAATAAATTAATTAAAAGGCGAAAACAATTTAAAATACATCAAACACGATTATTTATTAAAGTTAACATGAAATATATTAAATAGTGACATACCTACGATAATCTAATTTTATTTTTAAAAAAAATGATACATAAAAAAGTGCAGAGTTCAATAATCTGGAAGATCACTTCCAGATCCTCCAAAATCGTTAAAATAATTTTCAAACAAACCAGATAAACTTTCAGATCCTTTATCTTCTTGTTGAGCTCTCTTCTGGCAAATTCTTGCTTGTTCATTTTGCAAGCACAAACGAACGTGTGGATTTGTTATCGAACTCAAATCTGCCAACAAAATTTTATTCTCCTCACGATATTCTGTCAATGACAATTTTCTTTTTTGGATTTCGTAATTCTGTTGTCTTTCTTCAATACATTTTTTCATAATTTTGAGAATTTGTCGGTTCTCTTCTTTAATGGATATAAGTAATTTTATACATTTTTCTTCATTTTTCCTTTTTCTTTTTTCTTTTTTTGCCTTTTTTACCCCTATGGGTTGTTGAGTAGAAGTATCGTCAACATTGTCTTCGTTTATATTAAGAGAAAATGAGGACAATCTAGAAGATGTTGAATGAGTTGACATGTGGTCCTCCAATGACGAATCTGGTTGTGACGATGCAATGTTAGCACAGCCTTGCCTATGGTAGATTGTTTTGACCGTGTTAACATTATCTCCAAATTTTTTGGCATCTTTAAGCATAGACCAGACATGATCAAATTTGAACATTTCTTGTAATTTGGGTTTTCAGATAATAGCACTCTGGCTCGAAACATTTACGAAACAAAGACAACGTAACATTAATCTAACAGAATTAAATAATGAATTTAATTTTTTTCGTAATTTAACGTAATTATTTATTTAGTAATTTATGTATTTATAAAATAATTAAATAAATAATATTTCAAATAAGTAAATTATAAAGAATAAAAAAAGGGAAGAAAAAGGTTAAACACTGTTCATTTGGTTTAATTTTTGGTGTAATGGTTGGAAATGAATTTTAGTTTGGGGCAAGATTTGGTATAAAATTTGTTACAAAATGGTGCAAAATTTGGAGTAGGGTTGGAGATGGCCTAGCTGCAATTGATCTTTTTTATGATTTATGGGGTAGAGTTGGCTTTTTTAGATCTACAATTTGGCCCTACCTAGATTTTTGTATTGTTGTTTGAGATTTGGGTAAACTGCCACGCTGGTGGTTTGTGATAGCGATGGCGGCGGTAGGTGGTGCGGTGTTGGTGGCGACAGTTATTGAGTTTTCTGATTTTTTTTTTGATATCTAGGTATCCCAACTTACACTAAACTAAATCCTGGACCCTCAAGATCCTTGCCCCTAGAACCTTGGAGGGGGTAAATCGCGAATTATGCCTCAACTGGATCACAGGTTCCCCCACCGTCTGTACACTTCTGCGCACAAGAGATCCTCCTCCAAAGTGATTGCTTCATACCAAATAAATTTGGTCGCAGGTTCCCACTAAGATTCGAACATTCACCTTGCCGCTGGCTTTGAATAAGATGAACAATACTTTTTGTTTTGGTCAATTATTTTAATTGTTTTATTATAAAAATTGTAAATATACCATTTTACTCTTCATTTAATTTGTTAAATTGAGTCAAATATTTTATTTCAAGTTGACTAAAGGAACGTCGGATGGAATCTTTTCAATGGACTCCGAATACCATTAAAGTGAAAGGTTTGGGACTGCAGTGACAAAAATAAAAAGTTAAGATATAAGCTGCAGAAAATTGAAAGAATTGGGTTCGCTACAATCATTCCTTCATAATTATCATCCACTTATTATGAGCTTGTTTGAGCCACATTATAAGGAAAAAAATATATTATTAATGTCAAATCAATGTGAAATATGTGGTTAAAAATAATGAAAAGTTTTAGATTTATGTGTAATATTATTTTATTGAGAAATATATGATTGAAATGATATCAAATTACTATTAAAGAATGTATTTTTTTTAGAATAATGTGATTCAAATAGTAGCTATATTTTACTTTCATAAGATCCGTTATTCACCACTATAATTTCCTTATATCAAAACTCACACACTTTTTGTTAAATAGTTGGTCCCTAAAAGTGAGGGGCATGGTCCTTGTCAAATGACACCATACCCACGCGGCCACGGTCGGTCAACGTACCTTAATTTCATGTCCATTATTTGAAAATTATTCATTCGTTTCTAGTAAAAGGTACAGTTTGGTATGGCCGAAAAGTGTCCACATAAATTTAATTAGAATTAATTTATTTATACAATTGTGATGGATAACGATGATAGAAAACATTGATATTCTGAAAATTTGGACAATTTATTTAAAAGTTAGTTTTTAAAATTGATGAATATGATGTTGTTAAGTGTGGCTATGACCAAGATTGTAAGGACAAAAATTATACAAGGAATATGATTGAAATTATTACAATAATCACTAATTCCAGATAGACTCTATTGCCAGATTTGTATATTTTGACAGAGAAAAAGAAAAAATGGGCAATGGATTTCAAAATAATTCTACTTCAACAAAATTGGATTACAAAAGTAACTTTACAAAGTGTGGTGACAGAATTCAAGCAACTCATTTCAAATGATTTATTTTGAAATGATTGATGTAGAACCAACTTTATCATCCAATTTTGTCAAATTGGATTGTGGCATAACTTATGGTTTCATTAATTCTTCCTTGATTATCATGTGCGATGTGATATATGATGTTCGTACTCTGACACAGACCACTGAATTGTGGAACATGCTTCATATCAAATCATTTTTCCACTTGACGGTTGAGATTTTCCCGTACAAACGATCGGTGGTCCAGGTGCACTCTTTTGTGGAGTGGGGGTGCATTTGCAGTTCTGAATTTGCATTCTACATTGCACAAGCTCTTTCTCTACTTCCGTGGGTGGCTTCTTGGTCGGGAGGAACATGAAAGAGAAGAAGAAACCCACGCTCTCTTAATCATCTTTCCTCTGTTTCTTTTTTCTCTGAGAAAAGTTGAGAGAGAGAAGTGGTTTGAGTTGGGTTGATCTGATTTCCTCTGTTTTTTTTTTTTTAATGATTAATGAGCGTGACCCGAACTTGGCTGTTTTTCTTTCCTTACTTTTTGTGGGTTTGTAGTAAAATTAGTGATTTATTTATGAATTGAAAATGCAAGTGAGAATTGAGTTGGAAAACTCAAGAATGGGGAAGAGTGATGGGGGCAGGGAACTGTTGGAGCTCAAAATCAGGGAGGATTTAGGGTTTGAGATATTGAGGATTGCAAATGAGGGTTTTGTAAGCTAACCCTGGGGTTTCTCTGAGCTAATTCTGTTGTTGAGTATAATTTTTTCTGTATCTGTATTATTATAAAGACTATATATTTTAGTATATGCAAGTGAAGTATGGATAAACTTATGAAGCTTTCAACGTCAGGGATGGATCAGCAACCTCATGAAGGTGCCTACGCCTCTCTCTCTCTCTCTCTCTCTCTCTCTCTCTATATATATATATATATATATATATATGGGTGGGTGGGTGTGTGTGTCTGTGTTCCCCCCTTCTCCTAACCTTATCTATTCTGGATTCTTTGTTCTTGAAGTAAGTCTCTTTATTTGTCCTTTTTTTAATTTAGTTTTATTTTTCTTTGTTGAAGTGCGTGCTCTCTGTGTCTTAAAAGAATTCTTGTCCGTGTGTCTATTGCAACAATTGAATAAGTATTAATTTGGATAAACTGTAAGCCATAGTTGATGGTTTATTGATTTTGGGTATTGGAAGGGGGCAAAAAGTGTTTGAATTCCGAGCTATGGCATGCTTGTGCTGGTCCTCTGGTGTCTCTGCCTACAGTTGGGAGCCGTGTGGTTTACTTCCCTCAGGGACATAGTGAGCAGGTCTTTTAATTATCCAATTTTTCTTTATTATTTTCTTCCATGTTTTGTTGAAGATGATGTACTTTATAAGCACTCAACGGGTCCTACGTCCTCTTTAACCACTTGAAAGTTGCTTTGCTTAGGTGGCGAGGTATCTTATGGGTTTCAGTTGGAAATGTTTGACAGGTTGCTGCCACGACTAATAAAGAAGTTGATGCACACATACCCAACTATCCAAGCTTGCCGCCGCAGTTGATCTGCCAACTCCACAATGTTACAATGCACGTAAGTTTTCTTTATGTGCTGCTTATCATGTCCTTATTGACTCATTATATTGAGAGCTCATTAGACCTAGACCCTAAGAGATTTCTGTTTTGTTAAATATCAGGTAGATATAGAAACAGATGAAGTATATGCTCAAATGACATTGCAGCCCCTGAATCCGGTATTCTGAAATAATACTTGGAATTGAAAGTTTCTGTAAGACTGTAACTTTGCAGCACCTATCAATTGCATATTGATGAGGGGCTATTATTCCATTATGTAAATGCAGCAAGAACAGAAAGAGATATATCTTCCTGTTGATCTGGGAACTCCTAGCAAGCAACCTACTAATTACTTTTGCAAGACGTTAACGGCGAGTGATACTAGTACACATGGAGGCTTCTCCGTTCCTCGGCGTGCTGCAGAGAAAGTCTTCCCACCTTTGGTAATGGCATTCTATTGATATGATCATTCTGAGATTATAGCTTGTTGATCCTGTTCTGTAATTTCAATTTGGTGCCTCAGGATTTCTCTCAGACACCACCTGCCCAGGAACTTATTGCTAGGGATCTCCATGATGTTGAATGGAAGTTTAAGCATATTTTCCGTGGTAAGTTTTTGAAGTTTCCTATACTTTTAATATCAGGTATTTATACATGTACACATGATGGGATGACGGATTAGGCAATGTGTTGAATGAATATTAGCTATAACCAGACCAAGTCGCAGAAGTACTTGAGAGTTGAAACTTGAAAGGCCCTTGATTTTTTTATTTCAATATATTAAGATTGTGGTTGTTTAGCTTGTGGGTTATTCTATTATGACATTCATTAAATATGAATGCAGAAAGGCAGATTAAACTTATAATTTGCTTTTGCAATTTGACACAAATTCTTCATATCTTTCTCTCGATTATGATTTTGCACTTGACCTTAAAAAAGTAAGAAACAAAGATTCAAAAAGACAGTGCCTTCACACTTATTCAAAAGCACATACACAAATATCCTAGTGTGCATGTAACTTTCATTTGCTGCTCAGAAAATTTTGCTGCAGTTCAGAGTGGTGCTGGCAGTTATCAGTAGCTTAATGTTAGTAGGCTGTTTTTGCATTTATTATTGATAAAGGAAAATCAATAGTTTGATGCATATTAGTTTTATAATTATTATTTTTGGGGTGGGGGAGAATTGATTTATCAGCATTATCTTTTGGTTAGAAAAGTAGATGCAAAAACTAGTCATCTGTATGACATGTAATTTATTCAAAAAGGGGAATGGGAGGAGGAAAGTGGGGGAAATTAAATTGCCATTTGGTCTGATTGCAGTAGAAAAATAGAGTGTCGTCTTGATCCCAAGACCCCAACCTGGACTTGCCTGTTTTGGTCCAATCTGGACCGGGCTTTTCTGAGCAGGAAGTTTCAAAACCTCGATTATATTGCTGCTTCTACTGGATATACGGGATTTACCTTCCAAGCTTGGGTAATGCATACGGGTCATCTCTTTCTAATGTTTGTATTTTGAAGGAGAGGAGTATTATGTTCTTACCCTAAATGTAACATAGTTAGCCTTTTTTTAAGATGATATATCTGTTGAAGAGAATATTTAAATGATGTGAATATGACCCCCTCTAGCTACTTAAGCTTTTAAATCATGTGGTTCAACATGGTATTAAAGCATGAAAATTCCCTCCTTTCGATTCTTGCCGCCACCATTTAATGAAATTGTGCACATTTCAAGTTTATAGAAAAAATGTATCCCGCTTGCACGACGTTAGAGGGCTTGTTGAATACAGTATTTAAGTAATATACATGTGGCCTCTATAAGCTTTTAGATCAAATAGTCCAATAAAACTTTGTCTTTGTTTAAATTTCTTTGAATAGTGTGTTCAAAAATGCATTATAAGATGCCATTGTTCGTGCAAATGAAAGTTTGTCAAGTGAATAAGAATGGAGAAATCACTAAAAGAGATGTGTCCGAAGACAATGCACGTGTCTTTTTCAATGAAGTTAATGTAATCTTTCGAACATAGTGCTTTATTGTCTGCAAAGAGAATGTAATGCTTAGAGAAGAGTTCCAATCTCCAAGAGTAGCAATAGGGAAAGAGGAAGACCATTTTGAAAAAGATCTTGATTTCAACAGAATGAAGTAGCAGAAATCATTGTTCAAGAACATTTCTGTTCATTTTTCCATTTCATGTCCTCCAAGTTTCTCAATCGATTATGTTATTGGGGAATGGCATCATATCATTGGGTAAAACAGCTAAATAACATTTGAACTGCTGTACCGATCTTTGTTGTTGCTATTAATGATTCATTTTATATTCACTGTGATTAAATAGAGAACTTACATTTTGAGTTATGCAATGGCAGTGATTCATTTTCTTCATGCAGGCCAGCCCAAGCGGCATTTACTTACTACTGGCTGGAGTGTCTTTGTCAGTGCCAAAAGACTAGTTGCTGGAGATTCTGTTATTTTTATATGGTATCCTTTATCCTTACATTTCCCAAAATCATTTACTAAATTCTCAAGAGAACTCGATAATCTTTATTCCAAGTATTTTTAATCCTTTCCTTAGGAATGAGAAAAACCAGCTCCTTTTGGGAATTCGTCACGCCAACCGACCACAAACTGTGATGCCATCATCTGTTCTTTCAAGTGATAGTATGCACATTGGACTGCTTGCTGCTGCTGCTCATGCTGCTGCTACTAATAGCTGCTTCACCGTTTTCTATAACCCAAGGTAGCAATCCATAAATAACCATAAATTTTTGCATATTTCTGTTGCTTCTGCTGACACACTTATTGCATCAGGGCTAGTCCATCTGAGTTTGTTATACCTTTTCCAAATTATGTAAAAGCTGTTTATCACACTCGTGTTTCTGTTGGAATGCGTTTTCGGATGCTATTTGAAACTGAAGAATCCTGTGTCCGCAGGTATTTTATCACTTGAATCTTCAGTATGAGATCCATTTTTCTGGTTTTCCTTTAGTTTTGAGGTGTTAATAACTTAAAAACATGATAAATTAATATGGAAATCAACTCACAATGAGTCTATCCTGCTTGGTGATGTCAAACTGATTTTATTGATATCTCTGTTGCATTGTATAATTATGCTGCATTTAACTGGTTACAGTTTACTCCTTGGGTCATTTCTCTCAAGATTATGAGGGGACAAATTGTTCTTATCACGTCCTAATTATTGCAGTGGATATATGTAGTACTTGTAGATATACCACTATTTGGTACATAGTATTCAGTTGTATATCAGAGTTCATTGACAATTACCATTGTGAAAGGTAATAAGACATTGTTATAGAGCAAAAAAACTGGTCAATGTTGGGACTTCACCAACTGTTTGCAAGGCCTTTCTTTATTGGAATTTTGGCGTTCTTATCAGTAAATGATTCATGTTCAGATACATGGGCACGATTACTGGTATCGGTGATTTAGATCCTGATCGTTGGCCAAACTCCCACTGGCGTTCCGTCAAGGTAAACGACATGTCTTTACTGCTTAAATTTGTGCTACTTTTGCTCTTAATTTTCATTTTGCATTTTATATTTAATTTCTATACCGTCAGTTGCTCATGGAAACAAATTCTCGGAGAATTCTTTCTTTTCATCTCATCTTTGCTTGATTTTAAAAGTTTGTCTTGTTAAGTTTTTCCTTGTGCAGAATCCAAAATCTGGTATTGTAGTAACCAATGTAGCAGAGGCATAGAATCTGTTTTTACAGAATGCCTATTTTTGGTTAATTTCGAAAATAAATGATATTTTTGGGTTTTTACTAAATGAAGTTTCATTTATAATCTTTAAACATATTCTAGCCAGAAGGTATGCCGTGAAACATGGCTGGTTGAGCTTGTGACTTTAGTGCAACTCCACTGCCACCCAAAAGGAGTGGACATGATTTTCTGCGAAAACCTACGCATAAATGTATGCTTTCACCTTGATGTGATTATGTGGAAGGACATGTATGATAAAAGGTCGTGTGTTTTCCTGGATAAAATACATGCTATAAATAAAAAGTTACTTATAGGCTATAGCCAATAAAAAAGGACTCTTCTGAAGGAGCACACCCAAGTCTATCAATGTGAACAATATTTTGTCCATTTCATCCATAATTTTAATCAAAGAAGTCATTGTTGTTTTTAACTTGAGCATTCTATCTGTCCGTAAAATTAAAAAGAAAAAACTATATATTGACAAATTTGTGATTCTTCTAAAACCATTCTGTTGTACTTTCAGAAGTTCATCAATGCTATGCTATGCTATGTGCTTGTAAATTTTTTTAAGCTGGTCAAACATTCTCTTATTCCACACATTTCGTAATTACTACACTTACTACCCACTTATAATTTACACATTCTATAGGACCCACAACTTATATGCACTTAAAAAAAATTAAGGGAACCTTCCTTTCCTTAATCCAATGTGGTGCACCATGATTGGTAGTCCTTCCATTATAAGGCCTAAATTTCTAAGAAGATTTTGCATTGATTCTTTTGCATTATTGCATAAATGTGCAATGTGGTGGATGTGACATGTTAAGCACTCTCCTTGTTTACAACAAGTACATATGAAATTTTTTCCAGATATTAATGGATGTGACGTGTTAAGCATTTGAATTGTGCTAAGATATGTACCCAGAAAGTATAATTTCTGTTTAGTGATAGACGTTTCATATATCAAATGAATAGTATTTTATAATTGTTTTATAGTTTTTATTCATTAATTGAGCATACATTAAAAGATTCTATGTCATGGATGTAACTATGAGTTGTGCACTTAATTACTTTAGGTGTGGAAGATGCAATTCATAACTTATGGTATAAAAGATAATTTGTCTTCAACTGGTTAATAGAGTTGGAGACCAGGGGAAAAAAGGAATATAATTCATTGAGGGCATTATTTAATTAAAAAAAGTAATAACACAATAACATTAACATTATATTAATTTTTTCCTACATACTACAATGGTTCCCTACAACATTTTTAACTTGAATGTTTTCAATGTCATCAAATATATCATTATCAATATACACGATAGCAGAGGTGGGATGAATTAAATTTTACATGTTGAAAATTAAGATTTCCCGATTAATAATATCCCTGTTAAACTTGTTTACACTAATAATCATGCATTGTTGGCCTTACATTCTGAACTTTTCATTAATACGTAATAATGAAATCCGAGTATACTTACCAGTAATACACTTATTCATGCCATACCTGTTGTGTTCGATTAAGTAGTACATCTGTTTTCACAAATTTCTCGAATTTATAGGTTGGTTGGGATGAATCAACAACGGGTGAGAGGCAGCCGCGTGTATCACTATGGGAAATTCAACCCTTGACAACGTTTCCCATGTATTCTTCTTTGTTTCCTCTGAGGCTGAAACGACCATGGTATCCAGGGGCATCTTCTTTCCACGGTATTATCCCGCCCCTTATTTACATTTAGTTTTGTGCCTGTTTCCCGCTAATTTTGTGTGGATGGGAATCATATAATATTCTGTGTGGCACAAAACCATAGTCTTTGTTCCTGGGAGATGGGTAATAAGATTGGAGATAGATTGCTATTTTATCTAAAAAAAATAATTAGTGGTCCCCTTCAAGGAGTATAGACCTTTTTTGATTGAAGGCATTGTCTAATACCTCTGTAGTTCAACGACTCCCTTGTATTTCGGTGTCCTTTACAAGGGATCTCTGTATAGTGACTGTAAAAACTTTTCAACTGCTAAAGCATTAATAGTCTATCTTTTCATTTTTTATGTCTGTGTTCGTGTCAGCTTTGCATTTGTTTTTAATTTTGTGCTGGAGAACCAAGTCTATTTTATTTGAGTGGCAACAGAGTTGGATTTCTACCTGTCATAAAAAGGAGTTTCTTAGGGACAATCAAAAGAGAAATAGATGGCCCTTCATGTCATTTTCCTTTTGTATGTCTAAGTTGGAACAGGGGTTGGGGCAAGGGTATATGTGTTACTAATAGTCTAGTTGACGCAGAATGCAATGAACAAGATCGATACTTGAGAGAGAGAGAGAGAGAGAGAGAGAGAGAGGGAGGGAGAAAATATGAGTTTATTAAATGATAAAGTCCCAGTATTACAATGGAAAGAGAATGATGCTACTTGTAGATAATAAAGTTACATAATGGTTTATATACGGATGAAGTGTCAAAAAGAGAGAGAGAAAAGATTTATTTATTTATTTATTATTATTATTTTTTAAAGAAACGCTGACCCAATTATATCTCACCACATTATGTGTATGTAAACCATTATATATATATATATGTAGCACAAGCGATGGATAGTTACCTCTTTATATAGAGTTAAACAAACCTAATTTAAGTACAAAAATAAACCCTAATTCAAGTCAATCTACGAAACAATAATAAACTAATTCAAATAAAACTATTATTCCTAATTTACCAAGATTTCCTTCTATTCTCATCTTCAAACTATACCTTTTGTAGAACATCAACAGCTCTAGTTGCAATACTACATAAAGCATGAGATGATTCTTCAATCTCTAATGGCTAATAAATTGGGTTTAAAATACCAAAATAAAAGGAACTGCCAAGGCCCATGACTGGCTGTCCTCCCATTTTTGTGACTTTAAATGACAGATGCTATCCTCGTCTTCTAATGGAGAGATAGAGAGAGAGCTTTCCAAGTTACTTAACGTTTTCAGTAATTTATAGTATTGATTTCTTAATGTTCTCGAACCTAATATGCTATTTTCTAAAACCTTCATTTGGCTTATTTTTCTTCTGGTGCTTTTATAGCAGACGGCAGTAATGAAGCAATGTACAACATGGCTAGGTTTAGAGGTGAAGCCGGTGTGCATGGACACAGTTCTATGAATTTTCAGTCAGTCGGTATGTTTCCCTCGATGCCACAGAGATTCGATCCACCTATCTTAAGAAATGATCTCAATCAGCAGTGCGCTATGCTGGCAGCAGGATTGCAAAATTTTGGAAGTGAGGAGTTGCTGAAACAACAATTAGTGCAGTTCCAACAACCTGTTCAATACTTTCAACATTCAGGCAGCCATAATCCCCCATCACAGCAGCAGCAAGCAGTCCCACAATCAATTTCTTCTTGTACTCTCTCTGCACAAACCCAAATGGTTCCAGCTAATCTGTGTAGGCAAACACAACATTCCAGAGAACATTTGCAGCAGCATACTAGTGCGGAAGCATTGGTAATGCAACATGCTCAACTCCAACAGATGCGGCCATCAGATGCTCCCTCCCCTTCATTTACAAAATCAGATTTGACAAATTCAAACAATGAACTTTCAGCATCCATTTCTCCTTCAAGAATGCAAAATATAATGGGTTTCCTTTGTTCAGAAGGGCAGGGTGATCTTTTGAATTTCTCAAGATCTGGTCAATCAATGATCAATGAACAGTCACCACAACAATCCCGGGTGGTGAAATTTGCTCAGTTACCAGTCAGTAATAGCTCCAACTCAGCTTCACTTCCAGCATATCCTTCTGTTGAACATGAAACCTGTAGCTTGGATTCCCAGAATCACACTTTTTTTGGTGCTAATGTTGACTCTTCAGGACTGCTTCCAACCACCGTGTCCAGTTTAGACACTTCTTCAGTTCGTGCTGACATGTCATTTGAACCGTTAGATGCTTCTGGGTTTCAGAGCTCTCTATTCGACTATGCAAATGATTTGGAGTTATTACAAAGCACAGGACAAGTAGATCAATCAAACTCAACTGGTACTTTTGTTAAGGTACTAGTTAGGGACTGCATTATGCTTCTAAATTCTCTGTTCACTTTAAGAGTTTTAGCTAGTTAATGCTATTTTATTTGGTGCAGGTTTACAAATCTGGGTCAGTTGGTAGGTCAGTGGACATCTCCCGGTTCAACAGCTACCAGGAACTGCTATGGGAACTGGGTCAGATGTTTAGGATAGAAGGGTTGCTTGAAGGCCCTCAAAGATCAGGCTGGCAGCTTGTATTTGTCGACAGGGAGAATGATGTGCTTCTCCTTGGAGATGACCCATGGGAGTAAGTATCTTGATATTACGCCATCTATGCTTTTTATTTCCCATTAAGATTTGAAGTTCTTAGGCATTTGTGACCCTGTGCTCTTAACCTTAAAAATACACAGTATAACTGATCTATAGTTTGATCTTCTTTTTTTTGGGATGCTGTTCCTTCACTCTGAGAATTGAGCATTCTGGAGGTGGATCCCCTAATTGGAACATATACGCCTAACCCTGTTACTTTTGCGTTTTGTCACAAGTCAATCACTGAAACGGTCATTTAAATATTGGCGAAATGTTCTTTCTATTTTATTGACCATAATAAATGGAATTTGCAGGGAGTTTATGAACAATGTCTGGTATATCAAGATCCTTTCTCCAGAGGACGTGCAGAAACTGGAAAGACAAGACTCTGGATCATTAAGTTGAAACCAGGACCTTGTTCTCTAGGATTTCAAGTCAATGATGCTTCTGCCAAGGCACTTTAGCTCCAATTCTTATTGTACTGAAGGGCAGAGATGTCACGCAATCTTTGATTTTGTGGCTTGATAGCATTTGACCCTTTTACTATAATAATGTAGTGCATTTATCGTTTGTAGCATTGTTGTATACAATTGCATTTTCTGCAGCAGTTAGTGCAATATTAAGAATCATGAATCTGCTCTGCTATTATAGTTTGTAAACTAAAGACATTACTGTATTTTCTTAGGTGTTCTGTGATAAGGTTCCAGCTGCAATTTGTGAACATAAAACAGGTTGCTGTTATTGATTGAAGAAAACTGAGAAAATTACAGAAATGGAACTGAAACATTAGCCATTCTAGAGGGCTATAACTCTCCTAAAGGTCTCCCTTCTACTCACTCAATAACCCCCCCCCCCCCCCTT